CCTCCCCCTCCTGCCTCCTCCTTTGGCCTCCTGCCTCCTCCTGGGGCCTCCTGGGGCCTCTTGGGGCCTCCTGGAACCTTCTGGGCTTCCTGGGACCTTCTGGGGCCTCCTAGGGCATTCCTCCTCCTCCTCCTCCTCCTCCTCCTCCTCCTCCTCATCGTCCTGTTTTCCCTCTGCCTCATCCTCCTCTTCCTCCTTTTCTTTCTCGTCCTGCATCCTCCTCGTCCTCCTCCTCCTCCTCCTCCTCCTCCTCCTCCCCTTCCTCCTCCTCTTCCTCGTGCGGAACACGACTAGAGAAAACGCACGACGTGCGTCCCAGCGGCTACCCGCCGGAGGACGACCCAGAGGAAGCGCGCGCTGGAAGATGACCCGGAAACAACACGTGAGGTGCGGGCCCCATAGGGAGGGGGCTCCCGCTGATATTTCCTTGCAATTCACTCACAGACGAGGCTCCCGCCTGATACTTTCCCCAGATTCATGCCTCAGGGGCGCAAAAGTGATGACAATTGCAGAAGGCCGATGACCCGCTCGGATTACTCACATGACCTGCGGGCCCCATAGGGAGGGGGCTCCCGCCTCAAACTTCCTCGCAATTCACTCGCAGACGAGGCTCCCGCCTGATACTCCCTCCATTTGCAGGCCTCAGGGGCCCAAAAGTGACGACAGTCGCAGGAGGCCGATGACCCGCTCGGATTACTCATATGAGCTGCGGGATCCATAGGGAGGGGGCTCCCGCCTGAGACCTCCTCGCATTTCACTCACAGACGAGGCTCACGCCTGATACGTCCTCACAATGAATGTGTGCGCGTGTAAGTGATGATGATGCTGATGCTGATGATGATTCTGATGATGATGATGCTGCTGATGATGATGATGACGATGATGATGATGATGACGACGATGATGATGATGATGATGATGATGATGATGATGATGATGATGATGATGATGATGATGTGAGTGACGATGATGATGCTTGCGATGTGAGTGGTGATTATGATGATGACGATGTGACTTATGATGATTCTGATGATGCTGATGATGATGAGGGTGGTGGTGATGATGGTGTCAGTGATTGGGTGTATGATGATAATGATGTAGTGAATGATGATGCGGAGGTTGATGGTGTTATGATGGCGATGGTGTGTGGCTCATTGAGTGAGTGAGTGTGCGAAAGGAGAGGAGCTCATGAGGTCTGTGTCGACTCATTCAGTGTGTGAGTGAAGACGATGATGATGCTGACGATGATGTGTGTGAGTGAGTGGGTGGTGGGTGGTGAGTGAGTGGGTGGGTAAAGGAATGATTATGCTGAGTGCATGTGAGTGTGCGAGCGAGTGAATGAGTGTGTAAGTGATGATGATGATGATGATGATGATGATGATGATGATGATGATGATGATGATGCTGATGCTGATGCTGATGCTGATGCTGATGCTGATGATGATGCGAGTGTGTGCGTGTGTGAGTGATTGAACGTGTGTGTGGTGAGTGAATGAATGAGAGGGGGTGTTCCTGCTCCTGTGTTCCTGCGCGGGGTGTCCGGAGAAAACAAGAGCCCCACTCTGGATGTGGGGAACAACGCACACCTCCGAGCGATGCCGAGAGAGGCTGGTGGCTGGCCTGCCAGCGGGACTTCGCCCCGCGCCCACCCCCCCCCTTGCCGCCGGCGACCCGGCGCGGCCGCGCAGCAGGCGCTGGGAGGCCGTGGCGGGCTTAGGGGCGGACGAGGATAGAGGGCAAACCCGATGTTGCCACGAACCTCGGCCTTGGAGGGCAAGTGGGCGTGACTTGCGAGGAAGAGAGAAGATCAAAGAAGAGGATGCCTAGACGGCGCATGCTGCTGACTCCAACGCTGTCCGTTCGAGGCTGCGCCGCTTTCAGGCGCACTCCGCTGGTTCCCGTGCTGTCCGCTTGACGCTGTGCTGTCTGGGCGGGCACAGGGGCGGTCGAGGACAGAGAGCCACACATCCGCACCCCATAGCAACCACCCCGACAAGCGAGGCCGTGGAGTGCACGCGCCCAAGGAAGGAATCGAACGGGGAAGAGCTGCTCCGTAAACGCCCAGGGCTGGCTGCTGGACGCCAACTCTGTCGGGCCCGGGTGGCCTTCGCCATCGCTCGGACGTCCATTCCCTGTTTTTTTTTTCCGGTTTCGTGCGTGGTTTTTCGCCAAATGATCAAGGATGCTCCTCGATTGTTCTCGCCGAGAAAAAATGCACACGTCCGAACGATGCCAGGAGGGCCGTCTGCTGGACGCCAGCTCTGTCGGGTCCGGGTGGCCTTCCTCTGTCCTTGCGGGGAGGGGCCCGTGCCAGCGGCGCGGGGGCTCGCGGGGCCAGGGGCCCGAAGAGGCCGAGTCCGCGGGGCTCTGCGACAAGAAGAGGAGGAGGAGGAGGAGGAGGAGGAGGAGGAGGAGGAGGAGGAGGAGGAGGAGGAGGAGGAGGAGGAGGAGGATTTAGTACTCCTCGGGCCGCCCGTCGCCACGCTCCACACCGAGGCCTGAGGCGCGACTAAGGGGAGGCGAAGGAAAAGGAGAGGGAGGGCGGCCTCACTCGGCCGCAGCAGCCCTGGGGTCTCCAACGGGAGCCACCCCCAGGAATACACCGCCTCGGACGTGTCCATGACTGGGGTCTCAACTGAGCCACCCCCAGTAGTAGCACCACGAAGCCCTCCACCAGGGCTGCCAGAGCAGCTGCCAGGGGACTCACCAGAGCGGCCCCTGGAAAACACCTCGACAGTGACGATGACTGAGGACTCAAACGGAGCCACCCTCAGTAGTACCCGTCGTCGAGGCAGTAGTCGGAGGCTGACACGATGCGATATCGTAGCTCCCAGGCTCCCAGCTGAGCAGGTGGATAGAAGTGACCGTTCATGCTGGTGCCCTTCGCGTCGGAGTGATTCTCCCTTTAGGTGAAATACCACGTGCCAATTTGCCCAAGTTCTGGTGGCCATAATGGCCGAGATGCCCACAGCACTCAGCCGCCAACCCACGAAGGAAATATTTGCCAACAGGGCCGGACCGTAGGCAAGCATGGATCTTCATGTCACTGAAGTACCCAAGCAGGTGCGACTCGTGGATGGGAACACCCTGCACCATGACGCCCATGTCCCCGATCCGCTGGATGCTACCCTTGACCGCTCCGCCCAAGCAAGGCGTCTCCAATAATGCCTCAAGCTTCCTCCCGCTGGCGCTGCAACCACAAGCAGACAAGTGGAAAGACGTACCCGTGCCAGTATATATCTGGTGCTCCGACATCGCCACCTTCCGACAGAACTTCTTGGCCATCGAGCGTGTTGGTCGAAGACGCCTTGGCTCCGCCTCTGCCGCTGCCAGGAAAGCCTTCGCCAAATGCTTCCTCGCTGCTCGACCAACATGTTCAGCTGCCGCAACGACATCACTCGATACTGCGCACTTCTGAGCCCAGTACCCTGCGGCTTCATCCGCTAGAGCATTGACCGGGTAGTGCTCGACGTTGGTGTTGGTCAGCTTGGCTTGCTCGACGGCCATGTGGCTCTCGATCTTGACCACTTGTAGGTTCTGTGGGTACCGTACCAATGCCTGCTTCACCTGCAACCAGGTCCAGATTGGTGGTGGGCAGCCGTCCTGAGAAAATCTTTGCAATCCCCTTGAGTACATGCCCCGAGTCCGTCACGAAGGTCATGGGTATGCCCAACTCAAGGAAGTCCTCCAATGCACGAAGAAGCGCCATAGTCTCACCCCTGTTGATGGTCTGCTTCTTGGGGATCCCGCCTCCCCTCGAGTAAAGTAACTTCACATCGAGCTCAGGATCGCTCGTGACCTGGATAACCTGGTAAGACCACCCAATCCTGCGCAATCTCGGGTCCGCTGAATGTTCCCCACCCGAAGCGTCTCCACCGACCAGCAGATGCTCACGCACTCGTAAATCATTCGCATGACCATTGGATTCATCGAGAGGTGAATCGGTAGGGCCCTCCACACTCGTCCAGGTAGCAGGCAAGATGCCTCTTAACCAAAAGCACGGCAGGTTCTCGGCGCCCCCCTGGGCTCTGCGAGTCAAGTTCTGCGATATACTCGAGAAGTGCACATTGCATGGGCACTGCCAGTTACGATGCAAGTCCGTCTCTTGTCCACAATCGCATCTCTGACATGCGGTGGTGTCCAACGTGCAGCTACTCAAACTTGAGATCCGATGCCGAGTCCAGGGCGCTCCCGTCATCACTGCTTCCATCGCGCCTGCCACCTCGTGCTCTCCTTTCTTGCGGAGGGAGCTGAGGCGCCTCCGAGCGCCTCGAAGATCTGCACCCTCTTCCACACCTTTGCCATTCCAGTGTCTGGAGGCCCTGTCCCATTGCATCCTCTCGATGGAGTCGGAGATGGCTTCCTTGAGTTCGCTCATATCCTGCTGGCCTTGCCCAATGATGCTGTCGGGTGCCGTGAATCTTTCGCCAGCATCTGAAATCCGCGCCCATGGTCCGACTGGGCCCCATCCAATGTCCAATAGTATCGCACTAGTAGCCGAGGCAACTCCAGTGATACCTCTCCATCTGTCCTTCTGCGCCCGCATTTCAATCCTCCTGCGCGCTGTCTTCCAGGTGCGTCGAGCAAGCTCCAGGTCCAGCCCAGGCTGGAAAATAACTGCCATCCAGGATTCAATCAACCTGTGTGCGATCTGGTACTGCCGGTCCTTCCTGCCAACTCGGAGCTGCAGCAGCGCGGTAAGGCAACGTCCTGGCCCCTTTTTCGCCAGCGTCTGCCCCAGTGACTTCCTCCAACCGTTGATGACGGTTGGCGCTGCTCCAAATACTTTGTCCGAGTAGTCCGCCATAGGTAAAACTCCCATCGTCGCCAGTTTCCCGCCAATCTTCTTGCGCACAGCCCCTCGTGCAAAGCGTTTGACACGATTGAAGCAAGCAGCTGCGCCACGTCGTCGCTGAGCCTGCTTAGGCCGCAGAAAGCCAACAGCGCCTCTGCCGATGCCGAGGTCCGTCGCAACGCTTGCAATTTTGACCGCGAAGCCCTCCTTCTCGAACCCCTTTTGTAGTGCTTTGCCTAGGTCCGCTTGATTGGTGACGATAGTGGACTTGGGTGAGATTGCCAATCCTGCTTCCGTGCAACCCTTCGCAAAGGTAAGGCCAGCTTGCAAGGCTAGCCCCACTACGCGCTTGCACCGTCCTTCCACTCGCTGAGAGACATCATCCACCCAAGACCTCGTCGCAACTGCTGGGGTGCCTTGCGCCGCTCTGTCCAGAATGTTGTACAGCGCACATCTCGAAAAATCAACTGCTCCTCCCAGTCCTGCAATCATATTCTTCTCTGGGATGGTAGCGTCCGAGTAGTGGCCGTTGTCCCTAAGGAAGCGTGCACCCATATGCAACATCATCTCCAGTGCGAGGATACTGGGAGGAAACCCGTGCTCGAGTCCCGATTCGAGAAGTAGCTTCCACTTGAGCGCATCGTAGAACCCTTCAATGTCCCGCATCATACTTGCCTGAACCCAGCCTTGAATCGTGGAGAGAGCCACCGTCTCGTCTAAGTAACTGCGTAGTAAAGCTTCGCGCAGAGCCGATGACCCAGCCACTGCTGCATCCCACTGTCCAGCCCTAGTCTTAGTCCAGGTGGCGCGGTACTCACCTCGACAACTGGACCACAACCTCGCCAGGCTGGATAAGATTCCAATGGCTCTGTCGTCCCCCGACGGCTTCCTCGTGAGAGTCACCAAAACAACAGTCAATTGCCAGGGCCATGCAACCTCCTGCTCGATCTGCTGGAATAACTAAACCAACTCTTGCTTGCCCGACTCAGGTAGCCAAACAAGGTCTTTTTTCCCCCAAATTGCTCGATTCCTTTCGCCGATGACCCCTTCATCTTCCTGATGCCTTCCTCTAGCGTGTCCATGTCGAAGACGGGGAGGGGGTGTGCCTTGGCGTTGTCTCTGGCCGTAGAGAGTAGCTGCGCTATCCGCTCGATCTCCAAGGACTCGTCACTCCACTTCTCCCGCCATACCGACGCCCGAATGTCCATGGCCGTGAGCGGGTCACAGGAAATGTGCTGGCCCCTTTCGAACTCGTCCTTTGCTGATGGAACATCTTTAATAAGACGGAACAACTTCCCAGGCGCCGAGATGTACTGTTCCTCTGCCCATTGAGAAAATGCCAAGTACTGAGAGTAGCACTCCATCCTTTGCATACTGCTGGCCAGCTTCGCGCACTCCTCTTTGTACCTGCGGATGGTGTCCGAGGTCGCCGAGCTCAGCATGCGTAGCTTCCTGCACCAAGAAAGTTTCCCTTCCGTGGGAGAGCCGCCAGCGTCGAGTTGGGCACGCAACCTGTAGTTTCACGAAGACGAGCAATGAGCTTCCCAAACCTCGGAGACTCCCTCTTTGCACATGCCCTGTCCAAGTCCTCCAGCAAGAAGGCGATCTTCGCCCACCAATCCACTCCAGCATCCCTCGTGCGAGTGAAGGGCGGCGATGGCACCACCTTGCTGACGTTGACTTTCCGTGCCAGAGCTCGGCCTCTATGTACGTGCCCATCCTTGTCCAATCCTTCCCCATCCGATAACGAGCTGAAGTAATCCTCCACTTTACTGACCCATTGGCCGAAGGTATGACCAAGAGACTTGCAACTGTCCGAGGTAAGCTGCCAAGCGTAAGAGGATTGAACGTAGTGTGGAGGTTTCGACCATCTACCGTCCGTTTTGACAACAAGAGATCGCCAGAGGTCTTCACGATTGTCACGTGACCGCTTTTCTCCTAATGCCTCAGGAACAGGTGGAACGAGATCGCCTCCAGGTTCTTCCTCCCTCAGCAAGTCGTCCTCGTCATCCTCGTCCATATCTTCTGACTCTGTAGCTTCGCCCAAGTCCAAGGGGCCAAGATATTGAAAAGGTGGCGGCCCTTTGATCCCCATCCTCCTACGCGTGCCCAAAGCTGGTACTTTTGGACTCTTCGTCGTCGGAGTAGCTGCCACAACCAGCTTCCTCGAACGCTTGCTGCACGGGTCCGCCTTCTTCTTCGGCTGGACAGGTGGCCCGAAAGCCTTTGGGAGTCGGAGCGTGCGACCTTCCGCCTCCTTGGCTTCTAAGAGTAAGTCAAGCAGGAGGAGGAGGAGGAGGAGGAGGAGGAGGAGGAGGAGGAGGAGGAGGAGGAGGAGGAGGAGCGAAGAGGAGCAGGAGGAGGAGGAGGAGGAGGAGGAGGAGAAGAGGAAGGAGGAGAGGAGGAGGAAGAGAAGAGGGAGGAGGAGGGAAGAGGAGGGAGCAGGAGGAGGAGGAGGAGGAGGAGGTGGGGAGCGCGGCCCCCTCTCGCCAAGGGCCCCCGTCCGCTGCCGGGCATGCGCGCGCTCGTCGCTGCTGACGGGGGGGGGGGGAAGCGCCGGCGGCTCTGCCGACGGTGCCGCCGCCGCAACCGAGGTGGCGCCCACAGATGCAGCGCAGCGAGAGCGCAAGAGAGAGAGAGAGGTATATATATATATATATATTTAACGGCATATATATACAGAGAGAGAGAGAGAGAAACAACAACAACAACAACAACAACAACAACAACAATAACAACAACAGCAACAACAACAACAACAACAACAACAACAACAACAACACCAACACCAACAACAACAACAACAACAGCAACAACAACAGCCACATCAACAGCAACAACAACAACAGCAACAGCAACAAGAGCAACACGAACAACAAGAACAACAATAACAACAATAACAACAACAATAACAGCAGCAACAACACCACCAACACCAACAACAACAACAACGACAACGACAACGACAACAACAACATCATCAACAACAACAACGACAACAACAACAGCAACAACAACAGCAAGAAAAGAGAGAGAGAGAGAGAGAGAGAGAACGAAATAGCACAACCACAGAAGGACCATCTAGAGATCGCGAGCGTGTGCGTGACAGGTGCGAACAAGAGGTCGAAGTATGCCCAGGGGACGGTTCAAGCCATACCCCCCTCCCCCGAGACTTTACACCGCACCTCATTGTGAACGTCAAGTGCATCAGCAGCTTTCAATGTGTCTCAAGATCTGCGCAGCTCAGGCTTGACTCGGGCTCAGCTTTGGTTTAGAAATTTGCTGCAGTCACGCTTACACTAATGTTGAGGCAAAAGCTGAAGTGCAGGCACTACCCGTAATCATAGCACTAGGCTGCGGCTCTGGACGATAATGCCTTCCATATTAGCTTTGCCTTGAACTCTCAGGGTCAGGCTCGCGCAACTGCTTAGGCGTTGACTTCAGCTTGGCTTTGCGACCAACTGACAAGGTCGCCCGAGAAACGGATCGTCGGAAGGGTTCTTAGGCCATGTCAGACAATTACACACAGAGCGACACACACACACACACATCTGTTTGGCTGCCACTGGAGACACTTGGAACGGTAGGGGACACGTGTTGATCCTGAATCTATTGCGCAATCTGAGCCGGGACTCCAAGCCCGGCCCGCCGACGAGGACCTCGGCAACATTGATCACGTTGACCCGGTCGATCTCCAGCTCCTCGTCCTCCTCGACGAACCTGGTTCTCGTCTTGGACGGGACCAGGAGCCTGCTCGCCCGCGCCTTGATGGGGCCGTCGAGGTTCACAGAGCCACCCGCTCTCGACGTGGAGCTCGTGGCAGCCTGCGCAATGTCCTCTCGGCGGGAAGCCCGAAGCGCAGGCCCGGGTGTCGGCGTCTGCCCGGGCCGCAGGCGGAGGGCTCTCCGGCGACTGCCCGCGGTTGTTTCTGTGGGGGGGGCGGGGAGGGTCCGAGGCCAGTACCTCCGGCCCCTAAGCAAGCTCGGTGCCTGCTCCCATGCTTTGGACGCCCGAGATGGGTACGGAAAAAATGGGCACCATGCCCAACAACACACGTCGTCCCAGACCAGCAGCGGCCGCTGTCGGGCAGGCGGCCTCCTGTCTCAAAGGGACACAGGCCGCGGCGACACCGACCGCGAGTCCTGTTCAAAATGAACAGGAACTGCTGTTGGGCATTGTACGGCAGGTTCGTGTCGTGCCGACCCCAGCGTTGGTTTTTGACACCGCAGGGATCGTTCAACCTTGAACGATCGGCCGCTGCCGCAACGTCCGATCGTTCAACATCGATCGATTCTGGGTCGCCGGCGGCGTTCAACCTTGAACGCCCGCGCTGGGGTCGCCGCCGGTCGACACGACACTAACCTACCGTGCCCATGTTTTCCGTACCCCTTTCGGGCGTCCAAGCATGCGGCGACGCCGACTCCACATTCGTTCCCGCGGGGCGGTGCGCACTGTGTCCGTGCGCTCGCGGAGCGGGCTCGAGCACACGGCCGTCCTGGCATTCCTACAGTCCTATACCACGACGTGTTCTCTCAGAACCCCAAAGATGTTCAAAAAACAGAACAAGGCTCTCATAGCATAAACCAGATGTTATAAACAAGACAGTCCCCGCAAGACATGTTCTCTAAGGACATTTCGCGGGAACCACAAGAGGCTCTTAGAACATTGTTTGGTAGGACTACGGGCGAGCCAGGACGCTTCGCAACTGCTTGAAACACGGGCCCGTTCGTCGGCCGATCTGGGCTCAGAAGGGAGCCCCTGGGGGGGGGGGGGGGGGGGCGGCGAGCGAAGGGGGAAGTGAGACGGAGAAGGCGCGGGCGCGGCGGGGCTTCTCAGAAGCCCTCGCGCCTCCTAAGGAATGGTCTGCGTCTTCAGGGGGGAAGACCTCAGACAGCTTCTGTCGGAAGGCCGGAGGACTTCCGAGCCTTCTGACAAAGCCCGCCCCTTCTCACTTCCCCCCCCGGCTCGCCGCCGAGAGAAGCCACAGGGAAACGGCATGCTTGGCTGCTCGTGGCCCCCTGGAGGGCGCCTAGGTCAGAGGAGGGCACGGTGCCCATGCCGCTGCCCTTCGCCCGTCTTCCAATCTTTTTTGTTCGGCCCCCTGGGAGGCCCTCGCCACCACCACTGGATTCGCCCCGGAATTCTGGTCACAACGCACCACGGGGAGAGGTCTGGGGAGTATGTTAACCAGCCTCGAACGTATCCCTATCCCTCAGATGGGCGAGCAACAAATGAGGACAGTCTTAGGGGGTGTGCCCTCAGGAGCCGAGAGAATCCTTGAGATCGGCATCGAGGAGATGTGATGCCAAACACAGGGATCGGGATATGCTTCAAACTGGTCAGATGCAACGGTCTGTGGTATCTATTGGTCTCCCCACTTGGGGGTGCCGTGCCGCCCGCTTTTGGGCGCCCGGGTTATCCGGGGGAACTCGGGTCCGGGGTATCTCGGCTTCGGCATCCCGGAAAACGACCTCGAGTTGGCCCTGACCCGAGCTACCCCTGATGATTCGGGGTTCTGGACGCTTGGAGGCGGGCGCTTCTTGTTGTGGATGCCATGACTATGGACACTCTAACAGTCCTGTCATTGAATCAAGAATGTGTTTAAAATGTGTGAACCATATTCAGTACATATTTCAAACATGCTTTACACATTTGAGACATGTTTGACACATGTTTGAGACATCTGGAAGTTATCTGGCAGCATGCTTCCTCTCCATTCATCGGCTTCCACAGGCTTCTTGGGGCGAGGGCTGCGGCGCGAGGCCCTGACCCGAGTTACCCCTGACCCGAGTTACCCCGAGTTACCCTGACCCGAGTTACCGCGAAACGACCCCGAGTTAGCCCTGACCCGAATTACCTGAGCATTTTCTTAGGGTGGAGGGCTCAGGGTGAAACGCGTGTGGGCTTTTGCGCCTCGAATATCAATCCGTCTCGTGAGTCACCTTTTGCAGATTCGAGCCTCGAAACACAATCGAGACGGCACTTTTTTTTTTCACCCTTTGCCCTCCACCAAGAAGAACCTGCTCGGGCTACCCCGGATGACTCGGGGCCCCGGGGGCCCTGGACGCTCGGAGGCGGGCGCTGCTCGGGGCGGGGGCCGCGGCGCGAGGCTCCCGTGGCGGCGGGAGGGTGCGGAGCGCGGCCGCGCGGCCTTGGCCCGCGCCGCTCCCGCGCGCGGCACCTGTGGGGGGCGGCCTCGCGCGGGGGGCTCGCGCGCGCCGGGGCCGCCCCCCCGGGACAGGGCGGCGGGGCCCTCGCGAGGGGGCCTCCTCCTCCTCCTTCTCCCTCCTCCTCCTCCTCCTCCTCCTCCCTCCTCCTCCCTCCTCCTCCTCCTCCTCCTCCTCCTCCTCCTCCTCCTCCTCCTCCTCCTCCTCCTCCTCCTCCTCCTCCTCCTCCTCCTCCTCCTCCTCCTCCTCCTCCTCCTCCTCCTCCCCTCCCCCTCCTCCTCCTCCCCTCCTCCTCCTCCTCCTCCTCCTCCTCCTCCTCCTCCCCCCTCCTCCTCCTCCTCCCTCCTCCTTCTCCTCCTCCTCCTCCTCCTCCTCCTCCTCCTCCCCTCCTCCTCCTCCTCCTCCTCCTCCTCCCCTCCTCCTCCTCCTCCTCCTCCTCCTCCTCCTCCTCCTCCTCCTCCTCCTGTGCGCGCCGAGGTCCCGCGCCGTGGCCTGCGGGGGGGCCGCCCCTCGGAGAGGCGGCGGACGGGCCAGCGGTTCGAAGGCACCCTGCACGCTCGAGGGGATCTCCGACCCCCCCTGTCCCTCCCGTCCCCGAGGTCAAACGGCTGATCTCGGTGCTTCAGATGGTGCTCTTGGGGGGGTGCGGGTACACATTTGGCCACTCCCCTCCTGCGTAGAGTCGGGCCGCTGAAAGAAGGAACGCCAAATAAGGAACGAAGCCCCCTCTTGGCCCTCTAAGCGCCTCCGTGCCCCAGGAGGGCAGGAGGAACAGCACTGGAGGAGCCTAAGGAACATCGAGCCCCTTCCGAACCCAACCTGCTCCTTATTGCAGCGTCTTGACTGTAAGGCCCTCACTGTTCGCTTCGGGGGGTCCGGGGCGCATCCTGGGCCACCAGGCTCGCATACCGTGTCCGCGGTGCGGCCGCTCGGACATCCGGCCGCGCTGGAGCGGAAGGCGAGGATAAGGGGGCCAGCCTTTGGGGGGGGGGGGGGGGGCGTCGACTCGGCTCGGATCCGCGGCCCGGCCCCGCTCTTCGGCCCCGCTCCTGAGCATCGGTGGGCCGAGCCTCTTCCCCCCTGGGGTGGCCTGGACCCTATACCCTGGCCGGTTTACCCCCTGGATGGGGGATGCGTACAGTCGGACTGCTGACAGAAGGAACGATGAATACGGAACGAAGTCCCTCGTTCCGCCTTTTTCACCCCCACAGCGCCTGCGTGCACGAGGAGGGCTAGAAGAAAACAGCCATGGAAGGCCCGAAGGAACACCGAGCCCCCTCCGAACCCAAAGCGTTCCTTCTTTCAGCGCCTCGGCTGTAGGCCGTTCCCTTCGGATCTCGGGGGGCGTCTCCCCGGCTGGGAGGGTGGGGATCGGGACAGGGTAACATTATTACTACTATTGTTGTTGCAATTCGTATGAATAATGTTGTTGTTGTGTTTGTTGTTGATGTTGACGTTGTTGTTGCTGTTGCTGTTGCTGTTGCTGTTGTTGTTGTTGTTGGTGGTGTTGTTGTTATTGTTGTTGTGGTTGTTGATGT